GTCTGCCTCCAGCCCCCCACTCCCCACTCCCGCATTCTCCTTCAGCCCAGGCCCCCTTATCCAGGGCTAGCCACGTAATCTGTGGAGGCCCTTGTTCAGAACGTGCCTGGGTGGTAGAAGCGATCTGAGCTCCAACTATTAAGGGGCAGGCTGGTGGCCTGAATCTACACAGCGACCCTGTGGGAGAACGGCTTGGATGGAGCTCCGTAGGTTCACAGCCAGGTCGGCCCTGTGGGGCCGCTCGGACACACCTGGGGCCCCCTGCCATCAGGCAGAGCTGACTGGATGGCGACAGCATTTGGGTTCAAAAGTGAGAGAAAGCTGCCATTGAAGGTACTAGGACGTGAAGCCTGCTCCGTCCTTCCTTCCTTCCATGATCTTGCACAGCCTGTCGTGGGGTTTTGTCTCAGGGGCGTGGGAAGACTTGAGAGGCAAGTATAGACCCTCCCAGGTGCTGCCTCCCCCTCTCCTGAGACTCAGATCCTGCACAGCCCACTTGCTTCCAGGTTCCCCTTCCCTGCACCCAGAGAGAGCGCTGTGCCCGGTCAGGCATGCACAGAGGGCTCAGGCATCCCTTTCACACAGGCCTGATGCTCAGCCCCCAGTGGACAGGCAGCCTCTGCTCCAGGAGGACCTAGGTACCCAGACAGGAGGGGCAAGGGGCCTGCTGGTCCCACACGGAAGGACTGTGACATTACCAGTCCACGGAGGATGGACCCATCCACGGAGAGTGGATCCATCCACGGAGGGGGCAGCCACCACCCTGCCCTTTCAGGGACACATGAAACCTAAACCTGGCCCTCTCGTGCCCAGAGGCCCGTCTGCAACCCAAGGCCCAGGCAGCAAAGAATTGGACTTAGAACCCATCCTGGGATGCATGGCATGCTGGGAGACGACAGAGGCAAGATTACCACACTGAGCTGAGGTGTCAATCCTGGTACAACTCCATTGTCCCACTAGACTGCACTTACCAAACATAAATTCAAAGATGAAATTCATAAGCCCATCAGCACAGTGACTTCAGAGCACCCGATCCCAAGTACACGGCCACTTTAAACACTGAGTCCGTTGCAGTTTACGATATTCACACACCCAGGATGCTGGCCCGTCCTCACCCTGCAAGTTTCAGCTTAAACATCCTGTCCCTTGAGGTACCTTTCTGACCCCAACACCAGCCCGGGCTCTCCGGCAGTTCACCTCACTAGTATCCCCAGACTTCAAACGTTTCCTACTTCATTCTAATTACTTGTTTCATTGGCTTTGTTGTCATTACATGTTGAATTGATTTAATTAGTTCTGTGAAGACAGGAAACGTCTATTTCTGCTCATAATTAATATCGCTGGTACATGGCAGGTGTGGTGCACTGGGTTAACCACTGGGCAGATAGTCAAAAGTTTCCTGATTCAAACCCACAAGCTGGTCCTTGGCAGAGAGCACTTCTCCTCTGTCCTACAGGGTGGATGAGTCAAGATCGACAGGAAGGGTTCAGGTTTGGGTTTGGGAATGCAGCAGGCTTGTAATAGACAACAAATAACTATTTGCTGAAGAATTGAGAAAACTAATAAAGGACTGGTCCTTAGCCTCTCTTCTTAAAAGCAAAACAAAGACACTATTGGTTATTTTGGATGACTGGAAAGTCCCCAGCCTCTCTCAAAGCAGCCACAGGTCAGAGAGAACCGATCTCCCTCCCTCCTGCTCTAACGTCTCCATTTCACCCTTACTGGGTTGGCAAAGGCCCACTAGCGATGTGGCCTGATTATCAACTATTCTCTCTGAATGTCACAATAACAGGGTGCCATGAGCGCCCCCAGGTGTCAGCTCTGACTTTTGAGGCTGGATTCTATGAGCCCCCGGATTGGGGCAAGACTGATTAACAACCTTCGGTATGCAGATGACACACCTTGCTTGCTCAAAGTGAGGAGGACTTCAAGCACTTGCTGATGAAGGTCAAGGATTACAGCCTTCAGTGTGGATTACTGCTCCACGTAAGGAAGACCCAAATCCTCACAACTGGACCCATAGGTAACATCATGATGATCAGAGAAAAGGTTAAAGTCAAGGATTTTTGTCTTGCTTGGATCCACAATCGATGCTCATGGAAGCAGCAGTCAAGAGATCAAAAGATGTATTGCATTAGGTAAATCTGCTGCATAAGACTCTTTCGGGTATTGAAGAGCAAGGATGTTACTTTGAGGACTAAGGTGCGCCAAGCCCTGGTATGCTCCATTGCATCACACGCATGGACTTTGAAAAAGGAAGATTGTAGAGGAACCACCGATGCATTTGAATTGTGGTGCTGGAGAAAAATATTGAAGTAAGGCCAGAGTGTGCCTTACATGCAGGATGGCAAGACTCGGGTTTACATACTTTGGACCTGTTGTCAGGAAAGAACTAGTCCCTGGAGAAGGACATCATGCTTGGTAAAGTGGAAAGGTGGCGAAAAAGAGGAAGGCGCTCAAGGAGATGGATTGACACAGTGGCTACATCAATGGGTTCAGGCATAGGAACGATTGTGAGGGTGGTGCAGGACAGACCTTGCAGTGCTTTGTTCATTCTGTTACGCATAGACGGGGTCGCCCTGGGTCAGAGCCCACTCATTGGCAACTGTGGTAATACAGAATCTGGTGTCAATTTGGGACTTGAGAGGATTAAGAGTGAAGGGGTAGAATCTAGTCTGTCAATCGGGTCATAGCCAATGAGGCCTTTGCGTGGGCATGACCTTCTCCTGAGAATTCTGGGAACTCCTGTTTTCCTCCTTGAAGGTGGGAGACACACTTTCTCTCCGATCACTCCCTGAGAGCCACTCTACTGAGAAGACACATGGCAGCACGTTGATAGATCCCGTGCCCTGGGAACTAGAGGAGTCACGTGGAGACCCCTGCCAGTTCTGAGATGCTTCTACCATCACTGGATCCACAAGACTTTGCACCCACTGGCCTGTGATCTTCCTGCATTCAGCATCATTGCATGTGTTTCGTGAGTCAGAAGAGGACGTTATAGATTGGTATTGGACATATGGGCTAGTATCAGACTTATGGACTTAATCTGGACTGGGCTGGGATGTTTTCTCAATATTTCAACTGCTCTTGTATATAAAGCTCTTTCCTATACATATGAAAGTGTCCATGAATTTGTTTCTCTAGTCTACCCGGACTAATACAGCAACTAACAACAACCACAGGCACTACTCTGGAAACGCTTGTGGAAAGGTCTCATTGGCTTCAAGAGAACTCAGCATCCCGTCTGTGAGTTCTAAGCCGTATCCAGGGCTTTGCGTCCCCAGCCCACAGACTGAGGGAAGGGGAAGTCACACAGCGCCCGGGACACTTCTAGAACTGCCGTCTTGCTGATGGAAAATGGCTTCACTAAGGTGAAATTTAGTATCTTCCAAGAAGGCACAGTTTTCTTTTGTTTTTAACCAGTGTCTTTTTTTTAAACAGTAGTCGTTTTCTTAAGGAATTCAAACTTAGAATCCTAAAGAGAAGGGTGGGGCCAGAGCCCTTCCTTAAATCAATCAATCAATCAATTAATAAAGATTAGTCAATCAAAGCAAACCAAATCAAACTCACTGCCAGTGAGTTGATTCCAATTTGTAGCTAGGCTGTAGGACAGAGTAGAACTGCCCCTGCGGACTGAGTAAATCCTTTCCAGGGGCAGACAGCCTCCTCTTCCTCCCTCAGAGCAGCTAGTGTGTGCAAACGGCTGACTCCAGCAGCCCAACTTGTAAGCTATACGCCTCCAGGGCTCGATTAATTCATCGGATGAGTCATCGAGAACTCACTCAAAGCCGCTGAGTCCACGCTGACTCAGTTAGATCCTAAAGGACTGGGTCGAACTGCCCCTGAGAAAACGAAGCCAGTCTTATAGAAGGCCCAGGGTTCTGCAAAACATGTCCCCTGCCACACAGGTTTACAGGCCCTGCCCACACTTCACCGCAGCCTCACTTCCAAGCACACATTTAACATCCCAGCTGCACACCAACTCCACACAGATTCCCATGGAAACCAGCTTGCGGGCTAAGCAGATACACATCTTCCTTTAGGCCCTGGATACACGGATCGACCTCCTCTCCCGGGCTGTCCATGGAGTCTAATTACAGGAGGAAGTGCCAGGGGTGAGTCCCTTGCACTGACCCATAGCCCTCATGTTGCCACCGCAGGGCTGGCTGGATCCCGGGCAAGGTGCCAGCACTCCCTGTGCCTCAGTTTCCTTGTATTGTAGATAGGGTTAATAAGATTCAGATCAAGTCGTGCAAAGATGTGAAATACTTAGCACACCGCTTGGCATCTAATAAGCACTGATACATATTAATATTCAGTTTTAGTCTTCAATAGCCGTAAGGGAGTCCTTTAATCTCCTTAGGCCTCAGTTTTCTCATCTGTCAAACAGGGTGAGTGGGGAGGGGGGCAGTCCCTTCCTGCTCCCTCCTGTGAAGATTCCGTGAAAGGCTGCGAGAAGGCAGCACCGTGGAACCTTGAACCAGACCCCAACGGGAAGGCTTTGTCTTTCCCGTCTCGCGACTTTCCCACCCCTGACGGGGTTGCAGTCTGGCCACTTCGCTATCGCTCCTAGTAGTGGAAAGCCGTTTCCTTCCACCTTCCCTAGGCTCGGGCTTCCGTGCGGGTTTTGTAGTTTAGAATTACTACGGGTGCTCCTCTTCTGCGTGAGGGCCACACCCTCCCATGAAGGCAGGCCCCAGGGACGCCCCTTTCTTCTGGATGGCTTCAGGGGAGGGACGTTCTCATTCAGACTCCGTCCTTCCCTGGCTGACCTGGCTAAGCCTTGGTTTTCTCATCGGTTAAGCAGGCCTCCTCTGAAGGGGGTCGTGCGGGAAGTCGCCGTGCTGGTTGGCGACGCTACAGACTCCAGAGAAGTTCACCTGGGCTCCTCTGAGCCAGCCTGGAGCCAGCCCTGTGTGAGACTCAGAGGGTGGGAGACCAAGAGTGCCAGCCTCCCCAACCCCCGCTGGAAGGAGGAGGGGGAGGGAGTCGTCTCTTACCAGGCCCAGATTCAGGGAGTTGTTGTCATCCTCCGGCATGGGCAGGTACACGGCCAGGGCCATGCAGTTGGCAAAGATGGTGAGCAGGATGATCGTTTCGAAGGGTCTGGGCCAGAGTTAAGGAAAGGCCTTGAGTGAGGGGCGGGGCTCGGGGAGCTGTGGGGGGCGGGGGAGGAGCGTGCAGAGGACCAGCCTGGATCAAGGGTCTAATGGCAGCCCCAGGGGCAGACTTTTGGACTGTGTGCCCCACCTGCTGCTTTCCCCGGGTCTGCACGGAACAGAAAGACCAGGCTCCCTCCTGCAGGCCTCTTCCTCCCTCAAAACACTCAGATCCACTGCCGTAGAGTCAATTTGCTGACCCAGACCAAGGAGCGCTGCCTCCGTGGGCTCCCGAAGCTGCCCATCTTCATGGGACCCTCATCTCTTTCCTACAGAGCAGCTGGTGGTTTCCGACTGCTGGCCTTGCAGTTGGCACTGCCACCATGGCTCCTCTCCCCCCCTCAGGAGCAGGTAACATCCACACAGATGCAGCTTTATGAGCCTACAGGGAGGGGGAGGGGGGTCTCAATGCTGCCCCATCCTGCTCTGCCCACTCTTATGCCCACGCAGCCAGGACTGCCTGAGAGGCTGGCTAGACAATCTCAGAGAGGTTCACCCAGGGAAACAGCAAGGGACGCAGGGGAGCGATGCAGGCGAGTGGGCCTAAGAACCCAGAGAGCCGATGAAGTCTGAATCCTGAGTCTGAGGAAGAACTCAGTAACTGATGAGACCCACATGCTCCCTGCCCGCTGAGCCGCTTGCCAGCGCTCACACCACGTTTGCCCCCTCCCTGACACACCCACCCCTCCAGCGCCATCTTCCTTTCTTGACTTGCTGGCAAAAGGCATGGGCCCACCCATAAGAGAGTGGCAAGAAAGAAAGGGAGAAGGAGCTTGAGGGGTGTGTGTGTGTGTGTGTGTGTGTGTGTGTGTGTGTGTGTGTGTGTGTTTGGAGGCACACCAGGCGGATGAGCTGGATAGAAAAAGGTCATGTTTGAGGAGAGAGGAAGAATGGTTGTAGAACAGAGGCTCTGAGAGGCGAAGGCACCGAGGGGCAGAGACTGGAAGGAGGGGAGAAACCACCAAGTAAACCTGTTCTGACCAGCCCAGGCGGCACACTCTGTGACTGGCCATTAACCAAGGTGTTTGGGGAGCAAGGCCTGGCAATTGGCACCCCTAAAGACACCAGTCTATGAAAGGCTTTGGTACGGTTCTACTCTGTAACACCAGGCATGGCCATGAGCCAGGGGCCACCTCAAGAGGCCCTAACAACCACCAAACCTCTTCTGATGGAGGGTGGGCAGGGAGGAAGAGGCCGCAGGAGGATTTGATGGGGGGCAGCTGACGGGAGTGGGCTTACACCGACCCCGCACTCGTTCAGCTCAGCCCCATGCTTTTCTTGTCGCTCTGTTACCCCTTTTCTCATCTCGTCCAGGGAACAACTGGTGGGAGCCCAGTCTTCCAGGACGCTTGGGAAATATTTCAAATATTCCCAATCCACGCTCACAGACTCTAGGAGGCACAGAGGACCTTCTTCCTCCATGGGGCTCCGCCTCAGTCCCTTCCCAAATAACCCAGGTATTTCCATCGTTCTTCCTCCAGGAGGTCATGCAGACACAGAAGGGGGTTGAAGTCCCTGTACCCAGGCTGGTGCGTCCGAGCTGAACTAGCCAGTCGTGCTTGGAACCATTCACAGCCACCCTTCCCCAAGTCTGTTTCACCCCAAATCCTTCCCCGGCCGGGCCCAAGTCTGGGCTTCCCCTCAGTGGACACTCTCTCAACTCTCAACCCCCTCTTTACTGTCACACACCCCTATCCAGGGGAGGATTCACACACACACACACACACACACACTTCCAAAATGAAACTGCTTCTTCAAACACCTAAGCCTGAGACTCATCACAGCATAGGTTGGAGCATACTTGCCAACAGCCTATGAACCCTCCCAGGCCCCTTCCCTAGATGGTCAAGAGATAGTTCAACTTCTCACCAAGGCCTCGGCTCACCCACACGTGCCCCCAGGAAGCCCACCAATTCCTCTGGCTTCTTTCTCGTCCAAACAACAGCCTCCTTCTCAAGACTC